GTAAAGTAACAATATATGATGATCATCTAGGCTTAAGTAAGTGACACTTTTTGTTAATTACAATGGCAAAAAGCAGGTTGGTGCGAGCATAAGGTTAATTAGCTTAAATCATGGACGTAATAAGGATATGTCAGACGGCGGGCTTTATTTAATTCACACTAAAAAAATACAAGAAATATTTACTTTCCAACAATAGCCGGCCCGGCCCTGACCAGCTCGAGCTATTGCTTACAAACCCTAATCCATCCGAATGACCAAATATTTCTTTCCTATCCTTCCTTGCCTTCCCTTCTTATCTATCTTTCCTTTCAATATTATAACTACTTCCAATTTAACGGTCTTATACAAAAAGCACCGTTGATATCAATAAGCTGACCCCCTATTACGCAGTAGAATTAAAATGTTAGTTATCAAAGTGTCCGCGTTTTGGTACGTCTCTACCTAACACTTCGGATATACTTACTCTTACCCCCCTAAGTGTATGTGTAAATATAACTAAGTATTTCACTCAACAATTAAAGTTATATAGGTACAAGTAAACGATAAGTACATTACTGTATCTAATGGAACACAGGACATTTCTGTCTCGTACCTGACTGACTGCTGACTGTGAAAATAATTTCTATAGGTATTGGAAGAACATCGTATGGTCCTTCGAGAAAACGACAACATGAATGGTTTATATGACATTAGCTGACTCTCGAAAGGAATAGCTTTGCCCTATTTTGCAACATTTTACATAGATACAAGAGTCCTATGAGTCGTGGCGTGATATTATAAAGTCCTCCCGGAAAAAGGGGAATGATCCTCCTCCTCGATGAATTTTTCAATAACAACCATCTAGTAGTTCCTGAGATACAACCAAACAAACAAACTCTTCAGCTGTATAATAATAGATGTCTATTACCAAGAATTGCAAACAATGATGGAGATGCTTGCAATTCAACAACCACGACAATCGCTGTTCCCATTGCGTCTCACACTCTCTCTCACACTTCACGACAGACCATCGCAAAGCTACAAAAGTTACAGCTGGAACCTCTCCATCAAATTTTTAAATTGTAAACTTTTTTATTCAAATCGCCAACTTCATAGGCAAAAACCTAATCTTATATATAAAATTCTCCTGTCACAGTGTTAGTTACCATACTTCTCTGGACAGATTTTTATGAAATTTTGTGTGCACATCGGGTAGGTCTGAGAACAATGCAAGCACATATGTAGAAAAATACCAACTGTAAAGGAGTGCAATTCAGGAGACGTATACCTATAGTTATATACCTATGTTAAAATGAGAAGAATTGGGTCATTCTGCTTAAACTCACTAGTTTTAAGCTGCAGTTGGATATGACAGCTGCTCATTCTTTTAATACGTTTGAAAGACCCATAACATTTCTTTTAAATAATTTTACTGGTATAAGGATTGTGGATTAAGTAATAATAATAACTTAGTATAACTAAAATAATTGGTGACGGACTAAGAATACAAATTGTCACCACCCCAATTCATCCCGTGGGTGTCGTAAGAGCCGACTAAGGGAGCAAACTAAGCAGGACAACACCACTGCAAAGAGAAGGAAAACTTGAAACAAACCCTATACCAACCCGTCTGGCCAGCGTGGTATAGTAGGCCAAAAACTCCTTTCTAAGGAGAGGCCTATGTCCAGCAGTGGACTAGTATAGGCTGTTGATGATGATGATCGATGATGATAATTATAACTAAGTAAAGTTAATAATAAGAATAATGGCAGCCATGTATGGGACTTTTGTACCGCTTTGCGTATCTCATGATAATAAAAATACATTTAACACACAACGCCTTCTAGTTTCAAACTACTTATACTTTTTTTTGTAAAAACATACATATTATAGATAGAAAACACCCAAACTCCGAAACAAATATTTGCAGATCATACAAACATTTGGTCCGACAAGGGAATTGGGCCAGAGTCAGCTCAGCAGTCGCATACGTTATCTACAGTTTTTATTACCGGATTTTTAGAACTTTGGGTTAAAAAGTTATTTCAGTTTGTAGGTTGCATACAGGCTGTGCTGAAGTCGATACCAATGACAGCTGACTGTCACAAATGAGTTGTCATTGCTGTCAACAAGTTAACATAGATATCATTCAAAATCATTCGTTTATGATTTTCTTGATCCGTCAATAAAATGATGTCCTGTCAAATCAGTTTAATTACTTTTCATTTCCTTACATTTCCTTAAATTAATTGATTTAAAATAATCATTCCTCTATTACTTCGTCTAATCAGTTCAGTCAATATTATTAAGAAAGATATGTTTATTTTTAACTGCTAAATACACTAGTTAGCTTATTTATTAATCTCGATGTAAACTTATGGCTTTTTATGTAATTTATATTTTGCATGGCAAGTTTAGAAAACGTAGGAATGCGTTTTCTTAACAACACTTGAACGTTTAGTTAATGCAGTTGGAACAATTCTTTGAGAAGAATTTATTTACTTTTAGCAATGTTCTAATAAGTAATTGAGTTGAAAATTTAAACAACCCCCGACACACATCTTTGATTTTGTCATAGTGTATAGTATTTTACTAGTCAAGCCCTTTCATTTGATATCCATATTGAGGGAGGTGTGAAAAAATGTTGCAAACCCATCATGGGTTTACACATGGGGTGCAATGCTGATACTAAATATACTACAGAATATCTTTATATACCGCGTTCAAAGCTATTTTCTCATTAGACAATACAAACAAGTTTTCTCGAGGTTACTCTTGAAAAAGCGACATAAGATTTGCCACGAACAAATTGTCGCGCTCTAAAGCACGTTTTGTCTTAAAAAAGAATTCATTTTAGTATTTAAATACTATCATACAATTTCGAATAAATTTTTGTTTTATTTATCGTATCTTACTTATAAGTACGGATTACGTTGTCGCGCTGAAAATCACGTTTTTATTAAGTATTGTTATTGTACTCGATCGCTGCTAATCATAAAGTGCTATAGGGCGAAGGGCGGCCTTTGAAGCGCTGTTTATAGGCACATGCCGTCGGCCCCCCGGCCGGTACCGACACAACCGCTATGTCCCTGCATTTTAAATCTGTAATATATTCTAAAATATTAAAGCCATTATTTCTCGTGAAAAGTAAAGGTTAAAAAATTGTTATTGTGGGTTATCCCTAAAAGAGAGACATATGTATACCATTGTTGACTTTTTTGAAGATTTTAGTAAGCCCATTGACTTTTTGTATTTGAGAAGCATTAGGTTTTCCATTAAACAGTCAAGAAATTAGAGGTCAACTTGATAACACGGTTGTGAGCACGACATGCGTAACTAAAAAGCCATACTCCAGGTGTTTTAGCGATCTAGTCGCATTTATCGTCTTGTATAATTGGAGTGTAGAGTGGAGAGTAGTAGGTATAGTAGAAGCTAAAGCCTTATTATATTAGGTTATAGGTAGGTATAGTATACCTTAGGTTTACCTAGTTGAGTGCAGTGATCTAATCTAAGACAATCTCCGTTCATTCACATATTTTGCATATTCTAAGGAGATAAAGGCACATTTAATTCTTTCTTGGTCTTGTTACAGGATGACGGCGGGAATGGTAGCTTCGTGGAGAATGACATACGGAGCCGAGACGTTGGACAGGTCCACAAGTTCAAAGTCGCTCAGGTGTTTCTCTAGTCGATAAAATTCGAAACGAAACAATTTCAGTACTATTGTAGTAGACGAACTTGGTTGTTGAACGCACGTATAACAATGCACATCATTTTCACTAGAAAATTCAGTATTGGTTACCGTAGAGGATTTAGGAATATCAGAATTATTTTTCAAACGATTCTACAGGTTCCTTTAATCTTTTAGAGCCGGGTGTAAAAATACCGCATTTTTTCTTTCGAAGTATTTATTTGATACAGGTACATAGCCCTAGACCATCAGAGGGCCTAGTGTACTCGTAATAATAATAATAATAATAATATTTTCGGACATCTAACACACAACGACTTGAGAGCAGAGCTTGCACTATGAAAGCTAGATTGACCGATCATCAACAGCCTTTAACAGCCCACTGCTGGACATAAGCCTCTCCTTAGAAAGGAGGTTTTGGCCTACTATACCAGACGGGTTTGTATAGGGTTTGCGTCAAGTTTTAGTTCTCTCTGCAGTCCTGTTGTCTTGCGTAGTTTTCTCCCTTAGTCGGCTCTTACGACACCAACGGGATGAATAGGGGTGATGAAACTTTGTATTCTTAATCCGTCTCCACACGGACTGCTTGACTGATAGAATACTTATATACTTCTTTTTTTATTTAGATTTTCAGTAAGTTCAGTTCAGCCTAAGTAGTTGAATTGAACATTATATGTACGTGCACGCTGGGTAATCATAATCAATTAATCAAACGGTCGAGCGTACACTCGAAGCGTGACGTTCATACTTGATAATTATCTGCTGTCAAAACTTCACGCCGATAAATACATATTTTAATCATTTGGCGAGTGTAATACATTTGGAAATTTAAAATTAGCATTAAATTAACAAGCCTAGATTGCACACACTGAATATCAATCAGTTTTTCTACATACGTCAAGCGAATACGTTGTGCAATACACGCGCATTAGCATTCGTCGCGAATTTGCGCAAGGAGCTCGCGCGCGCCAATCGTCGGACAACGTCATTTGATATGCGTGCGACAATAAGTGCGACAAGGACGTGGGGGGGACATTTGCATACGCCCAAACGTGCGGTGACATCACTCCACAGATATTGCGTAGGTAGGTAGGCACTTTGATATGGTAACTAACTGGACAACGGTAGCTTTAGAGATATTGTTGATATATGATTGTTTGATATATGTTGGATATACTTACTTGATACACGTTATATATTGATATTTGGAGCATGTTTTGCAGGGACACAACGCTACCCATACCTATTGTTTCATTTCGAGTTGTTTATTGTTATATGCACGTATCAAACAATGGTTTATTCTGTCTAGTATCATCTATCTTCTGAACCCATGATCTCTACACCCGGGTGCTCTCTCCGTCAACACTTAGATAGGTACCCACAATTAGCATTAGATATCCCGCGCTATCGCGCCGGGGCGTGCGCTTGCCACGCGCGAGTCATGGAGGCGGGCGTCGGGCGTGGCTCCGGCTCGCTATTGGCCGTCGCATGCAAATGCGTGCGCCGCCTGCGCCAGCGCAATCTCGGCCGCTGCCATCGCGGACCCACCATTGTTTCAGAGCAAAAACAAGTGAAGCTCCGAGCTCGTTTGTCGGGAACATGCACGCGCAAAAACTGAGGCATGCGCATAACAAGAAACTGCAAAAAAGGCAGGACGATGCGGTGCTTTTTATTTGCGATTTATGTCCCCGCAAGTCCTTCCCCTCCCGGCCCTCGGACGGGAGGAAGCGAGTGCACGCGCAGCCTCCCGCTCCACACTCGATTATCCTAACATTGCTTAGCTTGTCGTCACCGGGCGCATGCTTAGGTACAGCAAAAACGCTTCTGCCGGCTACTGAACTCCACGGCGCGGTTTAAATTGCCCGCTTTAAGAGCTCGTGAGCAAGGGCAATTGGCAACGGGGCCATTACTTTTAAATCACATTTACATTGAATGCTGCGTCCTCGAGCCAAGACGCTCAATTAAAATACGGCCGTAAATTAAAAGACACAAGCGCTGTCGGCGCGATTATCGCACTGCTCGCACGCATGATGTACGACGACACTTACTGCTCCTACAAAACTCAAGGGGAAAAAATCTAATGGTAGTACTAAAAGCCCCATACAGTTAATGAACGATAGGTGTGTAGCCATGTGCGTGGCAATTTATTATTGTAATGGGTCTCTCCTGAGGGACATAGGAAATTTTGAGCAAGCAAGTACCTACCTAACTTCATTTTCAAGTGGAATAGATGTTCATTGAAAAGTGTCATCACTAAATGAGAACAAGTTGGTCTTAAAACACAACCATATTTCGATTTAATTCATTATGAAGACTGTTTGGCATGAACTGCTTCTATTCATACCTATTATTTATTCACAGCTACCAAGTAAAGTTTAACGGTAGCTCCCGCGGGGCGGCTAGTAATATTACTGAGCAAACTATAATATTTTCAATTCACTATGATTGTATTTGAGTAGGTTTGGCTCCTAAAAAGCATTCGTATTGTATTGCAACAACAGTGGTGTTGGAACAACAAATGTGAGTAGAGTCACTTAGGAGTTCCACTATCCTGACGCTGATTTACAAAATACTTTTGATGCAGATTTATTTTTTGTCTGCAGATAGTTCCAACACAATTCAGATTTTTTATTGTGTAGGTAATAAGCTTATGACACTTTGGAATAAACAGTTTGATTACAATACTAATAACTAATAATGATCACCCTATAAGCATATGGTAAACGTTCTGATAAGTAATATCTACCCACACAGACAATCTGTTATGATTGCCTGCGCTTGCGCCGAGTAAGGTTGACGATCAAACATCAGCAGTACCTACTTAACTAAGTCAATAATTGCACCCGCGCGCCATAACGCAGCACATAATTAGTTAGACTCTCCTCGTTAGAATCTACGTAGATGTACGCAGCGGTAAGTACAGTTAGAGCGTGATCTTTGTCTATGGATAGAGTATGAGATGCGCGGGCGCAGGCGACGCGCCTGTATAAATGACGCTCATTATTTCTCATCCCACGCATTAGATTCGTTCCGAGTACGCATTCGTATTCAATTATGCGCCTCTACAAAAACTAGTCGCGCATTTGAATGACGCGGCCTCGTTACCGCACCGCACCGCACCGCTCCGCTCCGCGCCGCGCTGCGCGCCCAATTTACAAATAAAACGCGGGGAACGTCCGGCAGCGCAAAAACTGACCGCACTCCTCCCCGTGCATATGAATGGACGCGCTTTTTTGCGCCTCACCCGGGACGATAATATGCCGCATGTCAAATCACTGCACTCAACCCCTATCTTCTCAGATCTCCGTCATAAGTTCAGGGGCAGTCTACACCTTTAGAGAGCTGCAGGCTAACACCACTTGCTGCTTCCAAGTTGGAACTCCCAAGACCCTCTTCTAAAGAAGACCCATTATCCATGGGCTAAAAGACTCTGTTAATATTTACGTTCGTGTATAGAATTAAGTTAAATACGTAATTGACGTACCCACTCATAGCTAACAGTAAGTAATCAGTTTCCTAAAGCTCAACACGCGCTTATGTTATTTGTTTACCGAGCTAGTAGTCACAACAATACCTAGTAGTGCCGTCCGGTATTAGCGGCCGACTACGGACGAAACTATCGATGTCTGTTCGTATATGGACACTGCAATAAAACAACAATTGCACTAATGTCTGTGCTCGCTCGTCAGTTGATGAGTTATTCCAACGACTCTCGTTTGACAACATGAAGGTTTATAATACTTAACTATATTTACTTATTAATTTACGCGCTATGAGTGGTGTTACACAGCGGTTAGTTATTGTAACAATTTTCATTGATGTTCGGTTCCTACTTTTCGTAGCGTGATAGTAGCCTTCCTCAATAAATGGGCTATCACACAATAAAACAGTTTTTTTTTTATTTGAACCAGAGTGCCTGAGATAAGCGCGTTCAACCAAACACACTTTATTACATTTTAAGCATTTGCTTAAAACCTACCATCTTTATCTTCGTCCTGACCCATTTCTATCACTAAATAATAAAATATATACTAAAAATCAGTCATTATATTATTATATCCTTAGAGAGTCAAAGGTTACGGTTGGGATAAACGAAAGCCCATAACGTTGTGCCCACTTCTTCCAGACGGATCCACAAAGCGAGCCTGTCTAGTTCTCTGGATAACTTTCTTAGATGTTTTTGTGCTCACAACTGCCTTAGAGCCTTGATTCGTTAAATATAAAGGCTATGTATGTTAATACATAGCCTATATATCTTTGTTCAGGTTACTGAACAAAGATATATATATATTATATCCACCGCGGAAAAAGAAGCTAGAGACATACGCCATCTTATCGTTTCACTATAATCTCGTTGGAAAAAATATGTTTTCTTAATGAAGTTTTTACTTTAAAACTCTATTGTTAACCCTGGAAGCCGAATAAGCGGAGGTGCTATGGCATACATAAAAACATACAAAAAATAAATAGCGTTGTTTCTAATTGTTTCAGTGAAGCGAGCAACATATTAACGGCTCAGCCGTCAGCTCGACGACATCGGATCGTCTGATTATGTAACGAGCGTGGATTCATCGACGACCGCTTTTTTATGCGCACATGACGCGGACGCGCATGGAAAATTCAACAGATTATCTGCCTCACTACCAGTGGAGCGTACCTACTTCACAACATCATATGAATTTATAATACAGCATTGTTTAATTTCATATGTCATCTCGTGAAGGATGTTTTTGTGTTGTAATCGTGCTTACGATCTATTCAATTAGCTAAATGAATTCAGAGCGCCAACTCGGCCCATCTGAGCTTCGCCGCCGGCGCTCACCACCACGGGAAAAACGTTAAATGGTGCTCAAAAGCAAACAGTTCATTAAATAATGCTCGATTACAATCTCGCTCGTAAATGTTAAACTGCACCTTATGAACTCCTTGTTTGCCCTTACTTGTGTGCGCGTGTGTTACTAATAACCACACTAACACAGTATCGAGATATGTTATGTGCGTGTGAGAGAGTGTTACGTTATAAGTGTTACACTTTGCAGAACTGGGTACTTTTGTGCTAAACAAATTAATTTGTTTTATTTTCAATTTTAATTTCTAATGTGTCTAAAGGTTTTCAGATAATACATATTTCAGGCACTACATGAGCCAGATGGACAAGTTGATGGTGTATTGCAAGCGAAGGTAGGCAACAAGGGAAAGTCATGGTAGATTTGGAACATTGTGCAGGTATATGGATTGTTACCTAAATCAATAGCTCTAGCACTTCATGGTCACGTACCTCAAAATATCAATTGGTGAGCTCAATTGCTTTAAAAATAACATAAAACGTAAGCCCTAATCTCATAGTAACGAATAGTTCATTCCCACAACTAGAATTAAAGATTTCAGATTCGTATTATTCCTATGCGAGGACCCTCCCTCTCATAATGTTGTTGTCCTTAACTAAAACACACAAATTAGTTAAACGGTGTTTTTAATTTAAGAAAAATAACAATTAATAATTATTTTTTATTCCTTCATAGCAATAAAAAACGTAGCTTTTGACGCGCCAGTGCTAAGTCTAGTGATCAACGATTGCGATTAAACCTGGACTAAACCAGAGGATAGGATAGGAGAGATAAATATTTTTTTAATATAATTAAATTGATAGTCGTTACCGACTATTGTGGAAGCGTGGGTGATCGCTATGAGCAACAATAGTGGGTTATTTAGACATAAATTCCTTTAACTTTTATTCTTTTGCAGTTGTATATATTGCATTGACTGTGGTGGACTATATTGTGTTCCATTATTATATTCGTGGAATAGTGTTTTAACACTTAAGTTATTGATGATACTTTGTAGTATTTATATGTGAAAATAGCCGCGGGAGAGCCATGCTTCAGCACAGACAGGTGATACCACCAGGTTGGTTCATACCACGGCCTCACAGAAAACTGGTGTTAAGCAGCTTTTTCGCTGCTTTTCACCGACTGAGTCAGGATACCAGAGCCTAAACCCCAATCCTTCTGATATGGGAGGAGAAACTCTAAGAACGTATGAACCGTATGCCCGTGTATCCCCCTATATTGTAAAAAAGTAAAAAACAGAAAGGCCCTGAGTTTTTAAAGAATGTTGAACTGAGAAAAAAAATGTTGCTTCTCTTGGTGATGGGTTAATAATATCTATAATAATAATATTGTCAAAAGTCACGTACTGTTACAGACTACAGCCACAGTATACAATATAGTACAGACTACAGTCACAGTACAATTTACAGTTTTGATTGTAGGTATATCTTAGGTACTTATTTTTTAATGTGTATCATCACACATCATCACATCAACAGCCTTTAATAGCCCACTGCTGGACATAGGCCTCTCCTTTTTAATGTGTATACATAAGCGTAAATAAATGAATCATTTTATTTACAACTAGCTGAGAAAATAAAATAAAAACAAATAAATGAAAATGGAGTGTGCTTCGCCCCGCTTTGTTACCCGCGTTTGTTGTTATAACCGCGGGCAACGGCGCGGGCCGAAGCTAGTCTAAAAAAAGTAGCCTAAGTTACTCCTTATGTCATCAGTTATCTGCCAGTGAAAGTCCCGTCGAAATCGGTCCAGCCGTTCCAGAGATTAC